CGGAGAGAGATGAATGGATGCCGTCAGAGGCACTCACAATCCACATGGCCCGTGAGCATGCGGCCACTCCACGCAGGAACACAGGAGGAGAGGGGGAAAAGCAAGAAGCAGCAAAAAACACACGGAAGGAACAAAAGACAGGCGGGAAAAGCATCGCCACGGCCCTCGCCCTGGCCGGCGACTCCACACCAGCCCTCACACACACAAACACCATCGCAGTGCTGCCAGTACGCGGGTAAGAAGATTCGGCCCTCCACACAACAAACTCACACACCGCCAGCAATCAACCACCAATGAACGAGGAAGAGAAGAGACACACCGCCACCGCCTCCAGTTCAGTCCCACGGCCAACGGGATACAGCCACAGCCCGCTGCCTGCACACAACGCACACGGAGCTAGCAATCACCCAAAGAGCCACACGCGGAAGCGGATCCTCATCCAGCCATGACGCGGCGACAAAATTTCCTGCCATTACACCCACAATGGAATTCGGTGCCCAACTCAAATAAGTCGCAGGCGGTGCATCACGCCAACAGCAAAAGTGACTCGCGGTGCGCGCTCCCTCTCTCCTCCTTCCCTTCATGCCCACGGAGGAAGCAGCAGCCACCCGCAACCGCCAGCACACGCTACAAAAGGAGCATCCAAATCCACTGCAATGTGCATTTTTTTGTGGTTGTGTGTGTGTGTGCCTGCAGGAACACGAGGTAAAAAAGTAAAAAGGAGCAGAGCGTGCAAAAGAACGCACAAACAAAAATGCACAGCGGAGGTGCACGGCGGAAATAACAAGACTGCTCAAAATCATAATTGCACTGCAACCCAAGCAGTGACAATTAATAAACGATTTAATAAAAATAAATAAATAAAAACATTCCCCCTCATCATAAATTAAACCCCCTCGCACAAAACATATATAAAAAAAAGTCCTCTACTACTGTTCCACGCACACACAAAAAAAAAAAAAGCAGCTGGTTACCGTGTGGCCCACCAAGCAGTCCGTATATTTTGCCCACAAAGAAAATTAAATAGTTGCATGTCTTTCAACCGTCCAACCCTCCATGTGTGTCCGCACATCGTTTATATTTCACGGGGTCATCTGCGTGTTGCTGCTCCCCTCAGCCCTCTCATCGGCGCGTGAGTGCGGCCTGCAGAGCACAGTCACTCGTGTGTGTGTGGGGACTGAGAGAAGCACGCAGACATGAAGGCAGTCGCGTCTCTCCATCGGGGAGTGAGCGCAGAAAAGAAAAAAAATCATCGGAGGGGAGAGAAATGCTCACGAGGCCGACACCGAAGGAACTGCCGGCACGAAAAAAAAAAAAAGAACGCAAAGGAAAATCCTTAAAAAGCGGCAGGGTGTGGCTGTGTGTGTGTGGCGCTGCGGGTGTCTGCCCGCCCTAGCCGCAAAGAAAACAAAACAAGAGGGAAAGAAATGTGTGCTCCGCCCCACAGGCCCTCGTCGCACGCCCACACGTCACGGCTCCCTCAGCGCGCCGTTCGTCGCGGCCCCTCCTCATGCGTGCAGCAGGCGAGGCGCACAGGGCCGTCGTCATGAGCGTGTCGGTGGGTGTGCGAGTGGAGCAGTTGGGCGGGAAAAACACGGCACCCCTCGCAGGAAGAGTGCAGAAGAAACAATTAACAAAAGTAAAAGAAAAAACGTCCAAGGTGGTTGCCCTAAGGCAACAGAGAAAAAAAAAAAAAAATTTATTCTCTGCGCAGTAAAATTTATTCCTAGCGGTCTTTGTGTGCCTGTGCAGGGAAGGGCGCAAGTGCTCCACACTGAGGCCGCACAGTCCTCACGCAGCCGCAAAGCCCCACAGTCCCAGCAGAAGAAGCAGCGGCAGCAGTCCGCTCCCAGCAGGCGCATTGGCTCGCACACCCTCAATCCGAGGGATATGCCTCCTTTCCGTTCCACCCTCCACCTGTGATTCCGGGTCTCTCTTCGGAACGGGGGTCCTGTCCTTGATTGCACGCATCTCAGTGGAATTTAGTGGGCGGTTGTGAAGAAAGACATTCGTCACCGTCACATGGGACTCTTGGCTGGGGTTCTCCTCACCGCACACGCCAAAGCAAAGGTCCACAAACTCAAGTGGCGTCTTATTTGTGAACAGCACTCCTTCCTCCCCCAGCAACTGGCCATCAATGTACACAGAGACCTTTTGGCCTTGGAGCATGAGTGCCACTTGGTATTCTTTCTTCGGCTCCCAACGGCCGCTCTGTGTTGTTGTCTGGCCTTCGAACATCGTCTCCCACCTCTTATCCGTGGTATACGACAGTATCATGAAATGCGCTACCCCAGCGTCCCCCAACGCCGCGGCCAGTAGAGAGGCGTTCTTGCTCGGAACCTTTTGGATGCTCACCGTCGCCACAAGTGTAAAGCTGTGGTTCAAAAACACATGACGCACATTATTATCCCGAGTGTTTAAGGACCATATTACCCCGGAGTTAGGCTCCGTCAACTGAACCCCATCTTTGACCTTCTTCGCGTTCGTCACCGTTGCATTCAGGCAAAGGTACTCGTCGTTCCACGTGTCGTTGCTGGCCGCATCGGACAAAACTGCCACCAGACCCGCCGTGGGTATAGACAAGTTGGAGAAGAAAATGTCCTTTTTCGCCCAAGTACTGAGGACGGACTTGACTGTACTCAGCTCCTCCGTCAGGCGGGAGAGTGAAATGGCACTGCCTTCACCATTTATACTCCGTTGTAAAAGATGCAAATTACCATCCGAGTACAGAAGGTTGCTGGCGAGATCCCAATTCTTATTATTGTACATGGCAACGGGACCAACATGAAACGAGCGGTTGTTGTCCGTCACCCAAAGGTAGAGTGCATTGAACATTTCCGTTTGTCCCTTCCAGAAGTTCCCTCTCTGAGTGTACAGCATGACCCTCCTTTCCTCAATGGTCGCGGTGATGAGAGCTCCCACACGCAAACTTTCGTCCCAAGAGCCTCCTGATCGTGCGTTGACCCACACGCCCAATAGCCCCCCGATGGCCTCCGTCCACGTTGTCCCCATGTCACGCGACTCGTACACCCTCTGGCCATTCTCGCAGTCAACAATCATGAGAAGTGATCCCTCCCACTCGGTGATGCGGGGGTAACGGCAGCCCGCAGGGGAAACGCCCTTTGAGAGCGCCCAGGTACTGCCGTTGTTCGTCGAATAAATAATCATGGAGTAAATGTTTCCTGATTTATCCCCCGCCATCAGAGAAAACACGAGCGTGTCATCCTCCATCAGAACACCTGAGCCACCAGAAGGTAAAGCCCCCCTAAATTGACGTTCGTGAGTACGTACAGAAACCTGGCTCCACAAAGATGTAGATTCTGTCCATTCGATCCGTTGACTCGGCTCGCTCACCGTAGGCTTCGTGACATCACCCACAACCAGTTTCAGCTCCAGGCTGTCCCATTTCCACTCCAGACCTTCTTTTTGCGCATCAGAGCTTCCCGCAAGAAGAAAAAACTTATTTCCCTTCGTGGTTGTTGTGGGGTTAAACAAACCGCCTACACGAACCTCTGTATCCGCTGTACCAAGCACGGTGTGTGCTTTCCATGTACTGTTATTGACCTCAGCAACAAGAGCGGACCAATTCCACGCAGAGTTCATGTACCCCGCAACAACACCAAAAGAGGGCTTAATTGATGCATCCGTCGGCCTTTTAAAATCCATGTGACCTGCGGCAAAAGCAGCAATTACTCCGCCAGCACTGACGAGAGATGGGGAAACAAATGAATCCCTTGTCGTTTCTGGAGAAGTTCCACCTTTCGGCAGCACCAGCGTCTGATTCGGCACAAATAGATCGACCCGTTGCAGCGGTTGCTCCCTCTCTGAAACACTCCCCCCAGCATCAATGAGAACTTTCGGTGAAGGCATGGGAGAAGTTGGCTCAACAACTGCCGTTTCCATCTCACTGGATGCAGCTCCACGGCAGCACATCACCAACACGACGAAGAGGTGCAGCACCGCAAAACTAAACACGTGCCGAGACATGTTGGGTCTCTGCGGCTCACTTTCTCCTCCTTCCCTCCTCCTCCCGCTGGATCCGGTCATGCGGCGACGGTTGTGTGTGCGGGGCGCCTTAACAGCAGCAACACGTGAGAGCATATAAATATTTGTTTGTGGGCGGTGTGTGTGTGCTGTTGTTCCTTTCAGAGTCTTCAAATTTCACGGTGGCGTTTAGCGCTTGTTTTCTTTCCTTCCTAGCGTGTGTATGCGTGAGTCAGAGAGAAAAGAGAAAACAGGCCAAGTAAAGAGGTGAGACAGCAAGCAATAGCACCCATCCACTGTGAGTGGCATCATCTTTTCCGCCGCAGTCGCTCACTACTACAACAGCTCACGCAAACAGACACACGGAACGAGAAGGGAAGAGGAGGAAGAGTGCACCACACGCAGCAATAGCAGATTCAACGAATCGTCCTGTACATGGCCCTGTTATTCTACCTAATGGCTTCCAGCCCCGCAGCAAAGACATACACGCGGCAACAGGACTAACGGCACCGGGGTTTATGGTTAATTGTGGGGGCACATTTCAATACCACCAACCTCACATGTCGCCTTACCAGGTACGCAAAAAGAGGCAGCGTAAAATGGGATGTAAAGGCAGGGAGAAAAGTAAAACATTAATAACTGCATTTGTGGCCCAAATTCGACGCTCTCTCATCATGTAGCACCAATACGCATACTTATCGTAAAATCTAGCTTTATAGAAGGAGAAAAGAATGGCAAAAAAAAAAAAGAGACAACGATTGGAAAAGGGATTTCCTCCCAACGCAACAAGCACATGTACGTATGCGTGCAAACACAAACACGTTGAGTAGGAGGCAGGTATTATTTCTCGAATATCTGTCCATAAAAAACAACGTCTCTTTGTTTTTGTTTTTACCTCTTGTTATATTTCTCCTAATACATACATCTTTACATTCTAAAAGGGAAGCTGCGTGAAAAGCGCTACTCCCCGCAGCACCCAGTGGTTTTCAGAATCCGCCGGGTGTCTTGGTAAGTCGATGGTGAGAATAAAGTTGGTGGAATGGCCAGTTGTGGATAGCACACCACGGCGGTCGGTCGTCTTGTAACAGGGGCATCGGTACACGGGCGTGTCCGGCAGCTCCTGTGAACGACACGGAAGCAACCGCAAAAGAGGAAATTTCATAAAAAGTTCCTTCGGTCTGCTTTCACAGATGGCGGCATTGACGGGGTCCCACCCCGCGCCTTCCAGGAACAGGCCGTAGATGCAGCAACCGTCCTCGGGAGCCGTCGTGCACGTCTCCTCGGCAAGAACAGAAAACTTCCACACGAGTTTGTCGATTTCGACCTTCCACTTGCGTGCATAGTTCTGCATCACACCCGTCAGAAAAGACTGTGTAAAGAAAAATCCACTGATCCAAAACATCGGCGGTGGGCCCTCATCACACCACTTCTGAAGAAACCCCAGGCGCTCAATTAAGTCGCTCACATAGGAGCCAAAGGGCTTCAACGATGGGTAGGACTGCCTCTTCCAAACATCCGGTACCTTTCCGTCGTACATGGCATTGAAGACTTCCTCCAGGTCCGCGCTCATCACCACCTTGCCGCTGATGGCATCTTGAATGTCAGTAAGTGTTTGGCGTACAATCAGTAACAGACGCCTGTACCGTATGGTCTCCTGCAGCAAGACCGTGTTCATGGACTGCGAGTAATCAATTGGGTGCTTCCGCTGTATTTCTTCAATATCAAACAGCTTTGGTAATCGCAAGAGGACGTGGTGCGCCAGATCTTTTACAGTTGCCTTGGGGTCCAGCTTTGAATCCACATCGGAGGATTCACGCGGCTGCGTCAGGAGTGTGGCCTCAAGAAGAACCCTCGTCTCCCGCTCGTCCTTTGTGATGTCGGCGTTCTCGTGCAACCCAAAGACGGCGGGGGGCTGTTGTGAGGGCAGTCCTCGAATGTATTCGACGTAGGATTCGTACTCACCGAAGGGTGGGGCATAATAGTTTGGGGCGTCTGAAGAAAAGACGTAGTCGTCCTCTAGTATCAGTGGTGTTAAGTAGAGCGAGAGTGTCGCCACAATGCAACGGCGGTCCCAATCGTCCGTGACACGACCACCATAATTGCACTGACCCGTGAGATACAACAGGGCATCGTAGGGGACCTCCTCATTCTCGTCAAGAAACATGTTGAGCTGCCGCACGCTAATACGACGGTCCGTGTCGTTAAACTCGTACATTCGGTTCCAGCCCAGGGGCCCAAACTGGCGACGCTCCTGCACCACGGCGTGGAAAAAGCAAAGCCCAAAAAGCATTTTTCTCCAGATTGAGGGCTTATTGGAGGAATTGAAGAACTTGGGGTCCGCCACGGGATTTGAGAGGTACGACTGCATGAGATTGTTTTTGAGACCCTTCGGAGGCTCTTGCACAAGCTTGACGCCATTCTGCAGGATGGAGATGGGAAACGTCTCACTCGGAAGGGATGTGAGCCACAGACGGTATTGATCGTTCAGCTTGGCCTTTGCGCCACTGTCGCTGTAGTTTTCAACGATACGTGCCAGCTCCGGCATAAAGTCTTGATACAAATGACAGTTCTGGAGGAACACCCAGTGCCCGCCACGCACCCCCTCCTCGATGAGCTGCCGTGCGAAGACCCCCTGCCCCTGCCCAAGTGACAGCTTGAAGAGGCGGCTGCTCATCCCCCGCCGCTCCGCAAGGCGGTCCAACTCCAAGTTCGGGTCCGCGCCAGGGGACAACACGAGAACAAGCGGAACAGACG